CCCCCCCTCACCCCCGAAAAATTAACAAAAAACACTACAGATACTTACTGGCTGGACTTGTTGCCGGAAGGGTGTTCTGAACTGCAAGAGAGAAAAGAATTTTTTTCAAATGAATCTTTTTTATCTGAATTAGCCGAAGATGGATTTTTTACATTTTTATCTCACGGGGTTGCTTTTTTTCTAATTTGGTTAAGCATAAGGTTAGGCTTTATCCAAGTCTTATACGACCTCAGCATGGCATCTTTAGTGTGACTTCTTGTTTTCTTTCCATTTTTCTCTGGATAAAAACAACAAAAATCTCTCTTTGTCTTTTTTTTCAGGATTTTTTAAAACTGATTCAGGCCGAAGCGCCGCTCACAGTCTCCTGTGTTTAGACACAGGGCCGGTCAGGATGGCTCTTATATATTGCTACTTTTCTTTATATCACTTTCCTCTTTTCTTCCATTACCACTTTCATTTCAACCCATTGAGGGGGTGGGGCATTGTTAATCTGAACATCTATATAAGCCACACATAGAGGTTTTATCAAATTTAGATATTTCTTTACTAACATTTTGTGAGACCACCCATGAGGTCCCGAAGCAGTCACTAATTGTTCGCGTCTTGAGTCAGAATTATTTTCGGTTTGAATCAGTTGACGTATCAAATAGTGATATTTTTCCAACTTCTTTACTAATTTACTTCAATGTGCCATAACAATAATTTACCTTTTGAAAAATCGTGTCTGTGTTTTCTTTCATGGTAATAATTTCTTTTGACACTTCGCAACCTCAGAATTACAAAGTTCTCTCTGACATTTTTAGCCATTATTAGTTACTAACACCACGAGGCCAGACACCAAATGTTCTATCTGCTCTATCAATATTGTAAGATTATTCGGAGTCATTATCAAGATATTCAAACATTTACATTAGAAAAAGCTTGACATGATGTGAAACAAACTCAAAATCTTTGACATCAAATTTCTCAAAACTAGGTACTGAGCAGATAGAAGTTTGTAATTTTGAGGTTAAAGGTGCATAGATCTGGCCACTCGAAAATTGCCAGTTTGTGGAGGCTCAACTACCCGACCCAGTGAAAATGGAAAATTATAGAAATTCAAACAAACACGCCTTATAATTTTTCTGTCTTCTGTATCAGCAGGAACAATGAAGGACAGCGGACAAAGCCAAAAGGACTCTTCTCACTCGAAACATTCTCCGGATTGCGTCGTGGAATGTTCGCACTATGTATGAAGCAGGAAAGAGTTCTCAATTGCCACAAGAGATAAAAAGATACAGTCAGCGAAACCCACTGGATACCGTGTGGACAGAAGCAGCTCAGCTGTGGGGAACATATTGTATTCTGGGAGAGAAGACAAGCATCATGCGGAGGGAGTTGGAATTATTTTTGAATAAGTATGCACAGAGGTAACTTAGAGGATGTGAACCATAGGGGGAGAAGATCATCATGGCTTCTTTCACTACAAAGAGTAAGAGCATCAACATGAACAGGAAGGATGTCAACAACATAATAGGAGATGCCAATGCCAAGATTGGTCAGGACAACGTTGGTTACGAGGGAATCATGGGACAACATGGCTTGGGACAAATGAATGAGAACGGTGGGCGATTTGCAAATATCTGTGCTTTCAACTATTTTGTCATTGGAGGCTCCGTTTTTCCCCCACAAGAGGATCCACAAGGCTATTTGGTTATCATCAGATGGAGTAACGGAGAACCATGTCGATCATTTTTGTATCTCTCGTAGGTTCAGGCGTTCACTGGAAGATGTCACAGTACAGAGAGGGGCAGACGTTGGATTGGATCATCATCTGCTGTTGGCAAAACACAAGCTTTGTCTTAAAAAGCACGGAAGCAGAACAGGAACCCAAAAAAAATGAAATTCCAAGTCAGTCTCTTAGATGGACACAGGAAAGAGGAGTTTCAACTGCAGTTGAGGAACAGCTTTCAACCCTTGGCGGATCTTGGCGAGGAGGATATGTAGGTGGAGGTACACTGGACCAAGGTTTTAAACAAAATGTATTTCAGCATGTCAAGAAATGCTCGGTTAGAAGAAATTGGAGCATAAGGAATGGATCAGCCAACGGCCATTGGATTTGATTAGCATTAGAAAAGAATCGAAAACAGAGACAAATGCAAGTAGAACAAGGGGATCAAAAGCGGACACATTGGAGCAGTAAAGGACAACAGCTAAAGATATAAAGAGATCACTAAGAAAAGACAAGGAGGAATTCATGAACAGGCTTGCAGAGAGTGCAGAGGCAGCAGCAGGAGGGAACATGCGAATGCTTGACCAGACTACAAAGACTCTTTCTGGAAAATATGAGAAAGCAGAAGTAACAGTAAAGGACCAGGGGGGGGGGGGGATCATTTTTGGAAAGGAAGCCCAGTCAAGACAATGGGTTGAGCATTACAACAGTCTCCTGAACAAACCACCACAAAGTTACCCGCCAAACATCCTGCTATCAAGAAATGAGTAACCAATCATCGAAACAAGAGATTATGGATGCCATTAAGAAGGGGAACAAGGGTAAAGCGGCCGGTTCTGATCAAATTCCACCTGAGACCATAAAACCAGATGTCATTTTGGCGGCAGACCTCCTTCTCCCACTCCTTACCAGGATCTGGAATGAGAGCAAATTCCCAAAGGATATGAAAGAAGGACATCTTGTGAAATTTCAAAAAAGGGGGATCTTAGCTACTGCTGCAACTACCGAGGAAACACTCTTCTCTCAATACCAGGTAAGGTCTTCAACAGAATCATTCTGGAGAGAATCAAGTCTGCAACGGATCCAAGACTTCGGGGTTAACAGGCTGGTTTTCGGAAATATCGGTAAACCACGGACCAGATTGCTACGCTGAGGATCATAGTGGAACAGTCCCTGGAGTAGAACTCCCAGTTGATCGTCAACTTTCTTGACCATGAGGAAGCTACTAAGGATCAGATGGAAAGACATGATCACAAACGAAGAAGTATTAAGAAGAACGAGACTGAGCCCTGTCAGAGATGAGGTTAGAGGAAGGTGTTGGCGATGGATTGGACACACTTTCAGAAAGGCAAACAGCTGCATAACAAGGAAAATGTTAGATTGGAACCCACAGGGTAAAAGATCTAGGGGAAGACCACATGGAACTTAGAGAAGAGTCACAAAAATGAATGTACAGAAAAGTGAGAAGACATGGAGTGACGTCAAGCGACTAGCCCATGATAGGAAAGGGTGGGAAGTGTTTGTTCAGGGTGAGAAAGGCAATGATGGTAATGATAGCGAGTAAAAGAGAAAAGGGTAATCTCTTTTTACAATTTTGCCATTATTAATGACACAAATATTATAAACGAAACAATATTTAAGAAACATCGATGTCATCACAGTACACTTGCATCTATATCTTTGTCTTTTCATTAAGTAAATTGAGATAGCATCACACAACGTTTTGTATATATCTAGCCTAACGTTTGTACCTTGTTTGCTGTATAAAACTATCACATCATAAGCCAAACTCTGATATAATAGTACTTCAAAAGCATGATAGCCTATGCACATAAAACAATATATTTAAATCAAAAGTCTTATCGTGGCAATGCTTCAGACAAGACTGATTTATAATTATACTAGCTGGCCCCAATTTCGATGAAAGGAATGATCGGTGCATTAATATCAACTGAAAGTCATTGGCCTACTACATTTACACTCTACTGGAATGGAGCAATAAATCTTGAGAGAAAAGTGAAACAGGTGTTTCCAAGTTGCCAAATATATAGATGTAATTGTATAAATTGATTCTCTATTCCGCTTTCGTGGTTGTACACTCCAGAATTCCAAATGTGTGGAAAAAGTGGGAACGGATAGTGAACGGAAACCTCACTTGTTTACAATGGCGTCTTAGAAGACGGACTTTCCAAAGAATCTGTTTTTACGATACAAAGCTTTTTGAAAACATCGGGGAAAGCAGTTGACGTGGATTTTTTTTTAAGTTAGGTCCAAGCAACATGGATGATGTGGACACCTGCAACGTTTCAAAGGTGTGGGTTAGGTAATAAGGGAGGAGTTTGTGCACAAAGCCTCCCAAGTCCACGTTATATATATATAGACTAGCTGGACCCCCTTTCGATGAAAGGAATGATCGGTGCATTAGCGCTATCGAATCAACTGAAAGTCATTGGCCTACTACTTCTACACTCTTCTGGAATGGAGCAATAAATCTTGAGACAAAAGTGACACACGTACTTCCAAGTTGCCCAATATGTCATAGAAATGTATAGATTGATTCTCTATTCTGCTTTCGAGGTTGTATACTCCATAATTTCAAAGGTATGGAACAGTACGCAAGGATAGTGAACGGAAACCTCACTTGTTTACAATGGCGTCTTAGAAGACAGACTTTCCCCATATTCTGTGTGGACGAAACCAAGCATTTTGGAAAAATCGGGGGAAGAAGTTTGACTCAAGTTTGAGTGAATCTTTTAAAGTTAGGTCCTAGCCTCCTGGAAGTTGTGGACGCCTGCAAAATTTCAAAAGGTGTGGGTTGGGTAATAAGGGAGGAGTTTGTGCACAAATCCTCCCAAGTCCACCTATAGTCTTATAGAGAGAGAGATTATTCGTTTTCTATTTGCTGTTGGTGTCAGAGGATGGCACATTGCTTCCGTCAGACTTTTCACATTTGAACAATTTGCTTTATCTGCATACAAAATATCCAATACACAAAGGACTTGAACCTTTTAAAATAGCTCAGATGTAAGTATTACAATTATTGGGGCTTCTTTCATACTGATCTATGGAGAGGGTAAGACAAGGCCATCTTGCTTATTACTAGACCAAATTTTACCAAATTTCCCACATATAACAAACATAGTAAGGAATCTTAAAATCCGCAATCAAATTTGAAAAAAAAAGTTTTGTTTCCATGGATACGGCGGCCATATTGCATTTTGATGACATGTCTTACGTAATGAATACAACACTTTAATGCTGATGGAAATGGAATGTTTTTTTCTTGCATGCGTGTTAACAAACATTAGATCTAAAGATTTGTCTGTTGTTGTTTTTTTCCTAAATGAATTTAAAAATCTTTTAAGAATTTTTTTCCTGAGATAGCATTCAAGTTCGCAAAAAATCCGTGAAAATCAACACTCCAGATACCACCAACAAAAATCTATTCGATATATCAAAAATTTAACAGACAAATTTTTAGTATTACGTCTTCTCTAAATCATGTGAGCATTTTATGAAGATTGGGTGAAAAATGGCGGAGTTTTTTTTTTTTTAAAGTATAGAGAAAAGTCGTGTTTTTGAGAAAACTGCCGATAAAGAAAACTAAATTTTGACTTTATGAGGAAATGGCGGTGGCGAACATCCCCGGTATGGGGGAAAATGTGGTTTTTTGGGGTTCTTACGCGATGAAATAGTTGTAGGAGAGGCTGAGGAAGCTAAAAATGCCTACAACTCAAATTCCATAATTTTGAGCAGAATTGGAACTTTGAGGGTGTAGCACTCCCCCCCC